CTCTCCCTCTGCCTTCTTCTCCCCAAACTTCTCTTCTTTTTCTCTCCCTCATCTTTCTTCCCCCATCTGGCCTTCTACCTCTTCCTTCTTTTCACACCGCTCTTCACCTGGGCGGATGCCCAGCCTCTTCTCCCCTCCACACGCCCCCCCCCCACACACACACACACCCTCCACCCTGCGGGCAGGTAGTGGGCGAGGCGGGCGCGCGCAGCTGACAGCGGACGCATGCCTGCAGCCAATCAGCAGCCGGATGCGCTGCAGCCTGAATAAATCATTAAACCTGACACGCGCTCAGGCCCGCGTCTCCGCTGCAACTTGCCTCCTGCCATTAACCTACACACGCTCTTTTGTAACAACCTAATCTTGCATACAAAGGAAGAAGGAATATAACTTGGACCTGCGCTGGAGCTCAGCTCTTGGCTTTGGCAGCAGCAAAAGAACCTTAGCGTTAACGAATCCACTTCCCTTTCTACCTTTGACTCCGGATAACCTGATAACCGGGACTTTCTAGGGAAATCCGAAAATGAATCATTTCTTGGCACAGGGGTTGGGGTGAAAGGAGAGAGGAAGAGAGAGAGAGGAAGAGAGAAAGAGAGAGAGAGAGAGAGAGAGAGAGAGAGAGAGAGAGAGAGAGAGAGAGAGAGAGAGAGAGAGAGAGATTCAGACTTCTCAAGAGTAGGAAAAGAGAGATACCGGTAGGATTGAGAACATTAGTAGTTCAGAGAAGCACCTGTAGTGCTTTTCAAAGAGGTTGCAATAAAACAAGCTTCTCAGAGCTCGCTCTAGAAGATACAAATTAAGACAATTAGCTCCTAGAAAAGGTGACCAAATTTCATCATATTCTCTCCATTTTTAAATGAGTGCATACATGGCCCAGGGAATGAGTGACTGAATGAAGGCATGACTGGTTGGTCTTGCTTATCTTGGTGGCAAGTCCCCAGCACCACCTCTTATCTGCTTCTGGAAGATCCTGAGAAGCATTGACATAGTCATTGGCAACTCCAAAGCCCTTTCCTTATCAGTTCACCAGTTGATCCCTAAAAGGGAAGACACCGCCATTTTCCAGAAGAGAAAACTATAAGCTGACTTCTTTAGCAAAATTTCAGGTAAACCATTCCCTGCTCAAAAAAGGTGAGTGATTTTCCAGAGTTAGGTTTTGAACGAGCTCTCCCTCACCTCTGCCCTAGGAAGTTTCTTTCTGACAGACATGAGTTCCAGAGCATCTTAATGCAAAACTAGTACACCCTTGAGCTCCTGTGGGAGAATAGACTTTGAAAGGATCCATGAAAAGCTGTTAATGGAGACACAGAGATGTGCCTGGGGCTAAGGGAGCCAGAATGATGCAGCACCCAGAGACTACTAACAAGTTGGAGCCCTTACCGCCTCTGAGACTGAAGGAGCAAGAGGAGGAAGCTGTTACTGCATCATCAGCTGCAGGGACAAGAGCTGGTGCTGTGGGAGAGAAGCCTCCTGACTGAGGTGTGGCCTTGGACCAAGAAGCAAAGCCACTGCCAAAGCGACTGAGCCCAAGCAGTGAGGAGCAGGGATGTAAAAGCCAGATCTACCTCCCTCCTACCTCCCAATCTTTTCCCTGTGGACAAACCCAACAGGAAGCCAGAGGGCTAGGGAGGCCGAACAATGGAATGCATAGGGATCCACCTCTGGAGACACAGAACAGAGCAGACAGGGCAGAAAGTGAATCGAGAGAAGGAAAGAACAGGGAACACAGCTATCAATGCAACAGAGCAGACCACCATCCATTCAATCAACAAATACCTATTTCTTCTGGGGCTGGGAGACACCAGTGAACAAGACAGGTAAGGTCCCTGTCCTCATGTAAGGGACCATTTGGTAAGTGGCCAGTGACAGCAATTGTATAAACAAACACAAATGCGTTTTCCCACCCAGATAGCGGTAAATGCCAAGAAAGAGAAACACCATAGTGGATGGACAGTGGCTGTGAGCATTGCTTTAGACAGAGCAGACAGAGGAGGCTTCCTGGAGGAGGTGACATCTGCAGGAAGTTGACCTGGGCTTTCCAGGAAAGCCTACCTGGACTCCACATCTACTATGTGGTGGCTGGTGGGTAAGCCTCAAAGCTAGTGTGTGATTTAGAGGCAGCAACTGGACAGTCCCCAAGAATAGAGAGGGGACAGGAGATAAAAGTAATAACAGGCACTTGCATTTACATTTATTTGGTAACCTTGTCACCACCCCCACCCACCCCTAAGCCAAGTGCTAACTCCTTTACATTGCGCCCTCTCCCTGCTGTGGGGACCATCAAGCCAATGTTACACACAAGAATCCTGATGCTCAGAAGGAATTGGGCTGTTGATTCTGTGTTCTCACATCCCTGGCCCAGAAGGGACAGCAAAGTGGAAAAGCACATTCTACTCTCTCTTACTACACCTCTGTCCCATTCCTTTGATGCCCTTTGCAGAGAGCAGACCCATTTTTTTTCTCTCTCTCTCTTCTTCCATGGCCCAGCCTGATGGGAAATAGATTCTTCTCCACACACACACCCTCTTCCTTTCAATAAAATATATATATATATATATATATATATATATATATATATATATATATATATATTCAAGCCAAAATCGGTTTGGCTCAGTGGATAGAACTTTGGTCTGGGGACTGAAAGGTCCTAGGTTCAATTCTGGTCTAGGGCATGTACATTGGCTGTGGGCACATCCCTGGAGGGGGGTGTGCAGGAGGCAGCTGGTTGATGTTTCTCTCTCATTAATGTTTCTAGCTCTCTATCCTCCCTTCCTTTCTGTAAAAAGTCAATAGAAATATATATTTTAAAATATTCAAGGCTTTGTCAGGGAGGTGAACTGGGTGTCCCACTCGCTCCAGCCCAGCCTCTGATAATACTCTCATTCAACAGTCCTGCGGTCTGTTTATTCTTTTTCTCCCTGCACTCCCCGCTCCTCCTTATCAATTTTAGGCGTGTCTCCACTCTTAACTCGTGGGCCCTTGGGTCATGGGTTAAATAGGTAAGATTTCTCAGTCCATGAAGTCAAGGCAAGTTTTCTTCCCAACCCCTCCCTCCAAAGACCATGGCTTGGATGGTTAGGACCAAGGGGAGGCCGCAATTGCTACCAGAGGCGAGGGCCTACATTTTGTATTTCGCTGACAGCCCCAGCCCGCTCCAAAGCGCGCCTCGCAGCCAATGGGCAGTGGTGATTTATGGGGCTGACTAATGCCGCTGAATGCGGCCTGTCACAGCGCCCTGAATGGCTTCCCTTCCCTGCACAAGCCCAGGCTTTGTGTTGCTAAGCGATTAGAGCAGATGTAATGAGATTTTGCCCAATCTCTGCTTTGCCCTTTCCTAGCTTCGGCAAAATTGTGTGTGTGAGGGGGCGGATAGGGGGGGTTGTGAATTTTTTAATTTAATTTTAATTTATTTTTTAGTTTGCCTTCGCATTGTGGCAAACAAGGGCTAACTTTGCCTCAAGTTTAACGAGACTGGCTATTTCCCATTCAGAAGTGAGTAAAAGAACACCTGTCTTCAGAAGACGTGAAGGGGGCGGGAAGACTCCCTCTGTGGGGGCTGAAACATTATCCCAATGTTTTATATTCATAGCAATAAACGACTCGCTACACTTTCTTTTGCCTACCTTATCTGAAAAGTTGCAAAGGAGCTAAGTTAAAAGAAAAAGAAAAGGGGGGGTGGGAAGGGAGGCGGGGAGTCCAGCTCTGGTGCTTCCAAAGGAGAAGATAAAAATAAAAGCGAGCATCACAAAAGCATTTACTTCCCTGAAGTAAGCTCTAAATTGGCCCACTGCTGGCAGAAAGTCCGATTATTTATGGCGATGAGGAATTTACTGATCCCACCCCCCCCCCCCGCCTTTAATTGTGCTCATCTCTTTGAAAGGGGCCGGAGCCTGCGCATTCTATGGAGGGTCATTTAGCAAAATGACATCAGTCGCCGCGGCGCGCTCCGCGCATCGCAGCTTAAAAAAAAAAAAAAAAAAAAGATTATTCCGTGCCACTAAACGGTATAGATGTACCAACACAGACTAGATTTTTAACTCTGGAAGACGCGCCTGCTCTCGGCTCTTTGTTGGGTTTTGTAAGACGCATTTTGCGCTCCGCTTTCCGCTCGGCTGGAGACACGCACACTGAATGCGCAAGTAACGCAGGAGGGGAGCGCGGCGCCGGCGAGAGGCGGAGTGGGATTCCGGTCACGTCCCTGCTAACTGACAAGAAGCGAGCCAGCCAAAAACCCCACTCATTTCTTTTTGAATCTTGGTAATTGGGTACTTTTACACACAGCTCACGCTATTCGGGTAGAGTGGCCAGCTTAGATAGGCCCCGGGTCTCAAAAAACAAAACAAAACAAAAAAAAAACGCACCCAACATTTCTAAGGCTTTGATTTTCTTTCGATGGACGTCATTCCTTCCGCAAGGAATTCATATCACATATGCCCTTGACTTAAAACCGGGATGGGACTGTGTGCATCCTGGGGGAAAGAAGTCGAAAATGTGCACCTGCAAGTGAAGGAATAACAGCGCACGCACGCGAGGGACGGGACATAGTGGCACCATCCTCCCTCCCACCCAGGGCATCTATGATCTCATCCAGCCCTCCCACAGTTGCACAAACAGGACCTCCGAACACGGTTGATTAAGGGTTAAAAAGTGGGGAGAGGACCCTTTCTTTCCACTTCACTTTTTGGAGGCATTTTTTATAATGTAAATCGTCTTATCAGAAGACAATGCAATCATCCATCACCACGTATTCTCTGGGTGTATGCATCCATCTGCAACATAAAAGGGGAAGAAACCCCTTTTTATCTATTAATTTTTTTTTTCCCTTCTGCCTTCATCACAGAGCCACCTCAGGTAGGACTGGAGGTAGCAGTTATCTTTGCCATGTCTGCCAGGCAGCCTGCTCTGCACCACCCTCTCCCCCTCCCCCCACCTCTTCCCTTTGGGGTTCCAATAGCTTGGTCAGGGCAGTAGAGCCAAAGAAGACTTTTTTCACTTGTAAAAAAGAAAAGAAGAAAGAAAGAAAAAACGTTTTATTACGAAACTAGTTTGTATAAAACAGGGTTATACAGGTGGATTTTTTTTTTGTAAGTTTGTAATAAAACAGTAAGGAAAAAAAAGGCAGTGATAGAAATTTTCCCAAAAGGCAACCTTTTTTTCAAAAGCACTGGCTGCCACGTTGCGTTTGGACAGTAGCTGCATAAACTTTGTTCTGGAACAGTATTTCATCACATCATTAATACATTAACAAAGTTCCTCTAAAGTAAGACACGTTGGTGCTTTAAGTACATCCGGTGGCCTTTTGACCTTCTCTGGGAGGAGAGTTCTGGACAAAAACCACACAGGAGAAAATGGCAGTTGTAAGGTGAACTACACATCTAACATAGGCAGAGGTAATAGCATTACATGTTAAAGTTTCAAGATATACACATTTTTAAACCATTTGTACAAAACTCTATAAATTTTTTTCTCTTTCTCTCTTATGTACAAAAATATCTTAATATATCCCCAAACTGGTTAGGATAGATACAAATAGATTTTTCTTATAATAAAAAAATTCACAAAAGATTGGAAGCATCCTATGATGAACATGGTAGAAAAGATGGTTGTGAGGGAGTGGGGTTTGGGGAAGAGGCCCAAGGATGGGGTGTCAAAGGACTGAGTACAGCAGAGTTTCGTTTTGCTGCAGAAGGAGGTCCACTGCGTACTGGGACGGGGAATACTGAGAGGAAAGATGGCAACCCTTGGCTGGAGAGTTAAGAACTCAACTTTCAAAAGTGGGCGGGGAGGTGAAGACACCCCAGGGAACCAGCTCTTCTAGCGCTGCCTGCTAGTGGTGGGTGGGAGTTTCTATGGGGCAGTTCTGCTCTCTTCCGCCAGGAGCTCCATGCCTTTGCACATGCGCAGCGTTTTGCACATGGACTCTGGTCCTGGTCACTCTTCCAATCTCCGTGAGTGACTGGAGTGCAACGAGACAGTTCTGAGCTCATCCCTGCTTTGTGAGAGCCTTGCTTCGCAGGCCTGCGTCCCTTGGTTGGCCTTGGGGTTGGTTGCCTGCTTTTATTTTATTTTTTTCTTCTCTCTCTTTTTTTTTTCTTTCTCCCAGCATCACTGACGAGTAAGCACGAAAGATGCAGGTTGTGCAGTCGCCCTATAACATAAGGAGAAGAAACGGAGACGTTAATGTGTATTTGGAGACCAGAATTGGGGGAGGGGGATAGGTTGGGGGGGGGGCCTGAGGGCGGGTGCAGGTTTAGGGATGGGGGAGGCTCTGTCTGGTAGAGCATCTCTTTGGACAGGCCCTGGTACCCCTTTCTCCACCTCTCCATCTCACCCCTTTCCAGTCCTTGGAGACCAGGGCAAAAAGCCACTCTCAGAGGCCAATAGTGAGACAAACCACCCACGACTTCAAATCCACTGACTTTAGCAAACCCTGGAACTCCATCTCCCCCTCTCCCCTCACGTCTCCGTGGAGACAGCCCCCCCACCACCACCTTCCTCAGATACTAAGACGAAGAGAAAAGGATGGAGATAAGGATAAGTAACCTCCTCTCACCCCCATCCACGCCCCCCCCCCCCTCGCCTCCCCATGCAACCTACCTGCTTAGCCAAGTCCATTCTGCGCCAGGGCCTGGCCCAGGCAGAGCCCCCATCAGAACCAGTTGGTGAAGTCCAGCAGCTCTTGCTCCTCGGGGCTCAGGGGGTCGTAGGAGCCCTCGTCCGACGAGTAGGACGACACCGGGGAGCCGGCCATGGAGTTCATGTCGTGGGAGTAGCTGGGGGAGATGGTGGGCGACAGGACGCCGGCCTGGAAGGCAGCGCTCACGGCGTCGTGCTCGTCCAGCAGCTGCTGAAGCGCGCGGATGTACTCGACGGCGGAGCGCAGCGTCTCCACCTTGCTCATCTTCTTGTTGGCCGCGCCGTTGGGGACGTGCTCGCGCAGCGTGGCGAAGCCCAGGTTGACCAGCTTGACGCGGTTGCGCTCGCGCTCGTTGCGGCGCGCCACGGCGGCCGGCTGCTGCGGCGGCAGGCTGTAGCCGAAGCCGCTGAAGTTGAGCCGTCGCTTGCAGCGCATCAGCTCGGGCGAGGACGAGCGCGGGCGCTTCGCCGGCCTGGGCGCCGGCTTGTGGCCGCCCCCCGACGGCTGGCCGCCGGCCGCCGGGCTCAGTTGCGGAGCCTGCGGCTGCGGCTGCTGCTGCTGCTGGGCGCCCTGAGCCACCGCCGCGGCAAAGAAGCAGGCTGCGGGCGGCAGGAAGGGCGGCTGGGGTTGCGGCTGCTGACCCGCGCCGCTCTCCATCTTGGCAGAGCTCTCCATGCGCTGCGGCTGCCAAGGAGGCGCGGGATGGGATGGGAGCAAAGCGGGGATGCGAGGTGCGGGGCGCGCGGGGGAGACACAGACAGGGACTGGGGTGCACGGACAGCGAGGGAGAGGGCGTGGGGGCAAGGGGGGGGGGAGATGAAGAGGGAGATCTCTCTCCGGGAAGTTTTTTTTAAAAAAATTGCAAAATCCCCAGGAGATCGAGGATGGGAGCTAAGAAGGTGCAGGGGCTGTTCCTCCGCCCCTCCGCTGCTCCCGCTCCTCCTTCCCCTCCTCCCTCCGCGGGCTGGCTTCGGGAGCCTCGCGTGGCGCTCGCGTGTGAGGCTGCAGCTAGCGCCTTCTTGTTAAAAAAAAAAAAGGCAGAAGAAGCAAAAGTCAGTGATGAGCGCGCTCTGCTGAACCTCCCGTTCCTCGCTCCCTAGGGCTGCGCTCTCTTGCGCTGGGTCCCGGTCTGGTCTCTGCAACCCTGGCTCAGGCTGTTTTTATTATTATTATTATTTTGTTCACCTCCTTTCTTTCTCACTGTCTTCTCTCCCTCGCCCTCCCGGCCGGCTGCCTGTCGGTGCGCCTTGCACGCTCCCTGGCCAGAAGGGAGAGTGCCGGGCGGCCGGAGGGCGGCCGCCTTTTCAATGGGACACCCGGCCCCACGCGCAGCCTTGGCCCCGCCTCGCCCCCAGCTCCCCGCGGCTGCGGCGGGCGGCTGCAGCCCCCGCTCCCCCCCTCCTCTCCCCTCCTCCTCCCGCCCACCCCCTCGCCTCCCCTGCCTTCCCCCCCCGCCCGCGCCCCGCGCCGCTCCCGGCAAACTCCCCATTCAGCAGGGTGTGTTGTTGCAGTGCGTGCGCCTGGCGCGTGCCGGCTCCCGGCTGAACAAACAGGCGGCGCGCCCGCGGCGGGCTGCGGCCGGGGATGGGGGGGTGGGGAGGGGTGGCTCCAGGGGTGGGGGGGGGGGGCGGGGGTAGGCCGGCGTCGCCAGAGGGGCAAATAGCGCTGGGAGTTGGGGTGTAAGGGTGGACAGGTTTGGGGTGACATGCCCTGGGATTCTGCTGAGAACTTGGAGCAAAGCACCGGGGAAGGTTTAAGCAGAAAAAGCAGCACCGGGGGTGTGGAGGTTAGAGGGGCATGGGGCTCCATGTTTCCAGTTTCCCCCCCCCTCCTACCCAGTGTCATTCTCTCTCTCTCTCTCTCTCTCTCTCTCTCTCTCTCTCTCTCTCTCTCGGGTGGGGGCGTCTTTGCTGCTTTCGGAAGCGTATGCACATTTGCGATGGAAGTTCAGAAAGCTGGGGCACGCTTTCGAAGGACAGGACTGTGAAACTAAAAAGACTGCGAAGACTTCTTCGATTCTAGTCCCGGGGCGTCCTTTCCCTGGCTCCGTGGCCCTCGGGAGGCGGCGGCATCCTCTCTGAGCCTCAGTTTTCCTGTCTGTAACCACAGAGGTTGGTTAAAGGGTCTCTCATGTCCCACCCAGGCATGCGCTCCCCACACCTGAGCAGGTGTGGAGGGTGCCCAGGAGGAGGGAGGTGATCGGAGCCCTTAGGTAGGTGTCTAAGTCAGGAAAGCCCCCCCAGGATGGACTCCAGCTGCCTGTAGCACCCCCTCCCCCAAAGGATAATTTGCGATGATCCCATAGCGGGAGGGCGGGGTGCCTAAGGCAGGGAGTTCTCCGGGACTGTAGTGGCTGGATGGGGGTGGGGGGGAGCCTGGGGGGAGATGATGATGGCCTTTGAAGGGCCAGAGGAGCTTCCCTGGTTGTTGGGAGCTGCCGCAGCCACCTCGGCGGCCTTGGCTCGGCCTCCAGCCCGCCCCAGGCGTGTGCCCGGCGGCCGGTGGCAGGCGTCTGGGAGCGGAGCCCGGCGGGCCGCGTGCTGGCGCCCGAGGGAGGGGGAGGCGCCTGCCGCCGCGGCTCAGCCGCTTGGACGGCGCTCGCCCGGGCGCCTTCCTGGGCCCTGGCCCTGGCGCTCCCGGACTCAGCCAGGCCCAGCTGCGGGGAAAGCGGATCGAGAGTCACGGGCCCCATCTTCCCAGGGCTCAGGTGGAGGCCCGGGAAGGAGGCTGGGGCGCGTGTCCAGGCAGAAAGAAGCAGAGGGCAACCAGCCAGTGGATGAGAGGCCTGGGCGCAAGGATGATCGCGGTGAATTATCTGATCCATGATGACGTCTCCTGGGACTTCCCTTTGCGGAGCTGGGGAGGGACCCGCGGGGCGGGGGGGAAGACTCAGGGGGCCGCCCTTGGCACCTATGGCTGGCTAAGGGCACTGTCAGAAAAACGTGGTAGGGACCGGAAGTGCAGACCTGTGGCTCCGCAGGTGAATCATCTCTCTTCCATGCCACAGTTTTCTCTTTGGAGTTTGGGGGGTACAGCATTGAATCAGGCCCACAGAGATCAGCTCTGTAAATCTCAGACCCACACTGCCCCTCCCGCACAGCACATGGCTTGCCTATGCCAGGACCCCACATGGCTTTGCTGAACCCCTGGGGTTTACACCGCTGGTCTCTCCTCTAACCCACCACCCCAGAAAAGGAGCTGAGTCTCCAAATTCCCATTTCTGGGAAAGGTAGGAGGCAGAACCACACCACCTGCTTTCCAACCAGGAGACTCACCACCTGCGAAATAGGCTATTGGGGCACTTCCTGATGCCCCAGCTCCCAGCTCCAGATGCTGGGCGGTAGGAGGTGGCTAGGAAAAGCCTCCTGTGTCCCAGCAGCTCCTCTCTAGTGAAATGGGGGAGGGGGGAGAGAAAGGAGGGAGAGTCAACAACATGGAAGCATCTGAGTGCATTTTCTTTCATATTAGGCTGAACCCTGGGCTCTGAGCTCTCTTCCACCCCAGACTCTAAGTGCCCACACATAAAGGTCCACCGTTCGGGCTCCACCCCTATGTTGTGCTTTAACCTTGAACAAGACCCTCTTCCTCTGCCGCCCTCAGCTTCCCGATTTGTACCTAGGAACAAGGAAAGTCTTCAGGTAGCCAGCACGTGTTCCGTTTCCTTTCTGGGGTGCAGGCTTTGCATCTGCACAGAGACCCCAATTACCTTGGATTTCAAGGCCAGAGCCTATTCCCATCACCACCACCATCAACCTTGCCAGCTCCACCTCCACCATCCACCTCCACCATCAACACACACACACACACACACACACACACACACACACACCTTGAAATGCTTGCTCGCTCCAATAGAAGCACCAACCAGTGAAGCCACCCATTATAGCAGCCCTACACATTGGCTTCCGCACAGGAGAAAAAAGAATCTGCGCTGGGATCCTTTCGGCCAAAGCCACTGAGACATTTGTCCCTATTCTCCCTGCTCCAGCTCTGAGCCAAAATTCCCTGCTCACTCTCCCAGCTCCTATATCCTAAGCTCACTTCCTTACATGTTTGCAAAGCGCTTCAAGAAACCCAGGCATGCTCTGCCTCCAACTGGAGCAAATACATATGTTCCCCACCAGCATCCCTGCCCCACACCGTCCTCTCCACCTTGTCCCCCAAAGAAGGCAGAGCCATCTAGAATCTCTTTGCAGGAGGCTGCGTCTCTGCCTTGGGGATTGTGCACTACCAAGGGGTGGGGGGTTGGGGTGTTGCACTGAAATGGGAATTCCAGATGTTTTCACTGTTTTGGAGCAAAGGACTGAGGCCATGAGAATGCTGCCTCAGACCCTGTGACCTAGAGTATGACACCCCTCCCCCACACCCACACACCTGATAGAATTGCCCCAGACTCCTTAGGCCCAGGGAACCCCAAGTCTTGGGGGAAGGGGGAGGTAAAGCAGAAGGACTTGATTGGACATCCAGGCACTGGTACTTCATCAGCAGGATGAGCTCTGTACAGTCCATCTCAGTTTCCATATTCGCCATGCCTGTAGTTAGAGCACCTAATTCCAACTTCTGTGAAATGTCAAGATGTATGTGGGGCACCCCAAATCAGCTCTAAATGGGAAGGCATGGATAGGAATTGTCTTTCTAGAGATGAGGATGCTCTGTGGTTGCTCAGCTAGCTGGTCCCAGAAAGGGCTCATAGGAGGTGGAGGCCCACCTCTGGGCTTCCTGGAAGCACACCCTGATTGTTGTTACAGCCTTTGGAGACCCAATGCCTCTCGTCTCACTGTCCCAGCCCCTGGGAGTGGGTAAGCCCTGCCATTTTTAATATATATATATATATATATATATATATATTTAATTCTTTTTTTTTTTTTTTTTTTATAGAGAGGAAGAGAGAGGGATAGAGAGTTAGAAGCATCGATGAGAGAGACTCATCGGATCAGCCACCTCTTGCACACCCCCTACTGGGGATGTGTCTGCAACCAAGGCACATGCCTTTGACTGGAATCAAACCCTGGACCTTTTGGTCCGCAGGCTGACACTTTATCCACTCAGCCAATCCGGTTTCTGGTAAGCCCTGTCACTTTTGAGGAATGGTGGTGATGCTTTCAAGTCAAAGTGATGGGAGACAGCAGCCAAATTTTTAACATAAAGAGTAGAGATGAAATGCAGATGTGCTCTGTGGCTGGCCTTTAGCAGAGCCACTGGTTCTGACCTCCCTCGCCACCAGTGGGCCTGACTCTGGGCAAGATCCCAGGATTTACTTAACCGGATCGCCCGAGATTCCATTCAGGTAGGTGTGGAGGGGACAAAGAGCTCACAGAAAGAGTGCTGGGAGCCTCCACCCCTGATGGAGCGATGGTGCTCACCTGTCAAGGCTGTCAGGAGGATTAAATCTGACATTGTTTGTGAATTCACTTTGCAAGTTCCTCCTGATATCCCAGGGACTGGCATTCTTGTGATGGGGAGGCAGGACACTACCCCCCTTCTGTATGCATTGCCCAGAGTATAGACATCCTAGAAAATGAGAAGGGCCTTAATTTCTGTACCTCCAGGCCTCTCGTCTATTTAGGGGATCCCAGAGATGAACCATACCTTAGATTAAACCTTGTCCACATTCAACATCTGGGTCTACATGGTCAGACCTTGCCCTGAACACCTGAGACTCTGGTGTCCCGAGTCTCCTGCCACCTTAGTTTCCATTCACAGTTGAAGGTCAGGCCAGTGCTGCCTCTGCTCCCACACCATCCTCATGCTCCAGTATTGGGA